GCCGTTAGAAAATCTAACCTCGATTTTCAAAATTGTTCGAAACATCAAGAGAAAAATGCTGGGATATGTGCCTTGTCAAGGAGACCAACAAACTGAACAAAGTATCGTTCTCTTTGATTTTTTCAGTTCTATTTGGATTATTTTTAAAAAAAGAATTTGTTAATATCACTTTTCCGGCGGAGTTTTTGGCGACATGGTGGCTGGAAACACAAAAAGAAAGATAATTTGTTGGTCTCCTTGGCGAGACGCACCTCACAGTATTATTCTTTTAATGTTTCGGAGACTTTTGAAAATCGGGGTTAGATTTTCTAACGGCGTTAAACGCCATGCCCTTGCTTTGATAACAGACTTTAAACACATGTCCACTCTGTTAAAAAATGAAGCATGTGCCCCTACTTTTCCCTTTAATATATTATTAAACGGGCTCCTACTTTGATTATACGAGTAAAAATGGAAGCCCATTCAAAAATAGCAGAAGGCCCGCCTATAGAAATCCAGAATCCCGAGTCGGGCTGAGCTGCCGCAAAGTGCAAACTAGCGGTGCTTCTGACATTTGTACTGCAAAAAAACTTGACCAGAGGAGGAAGAAAGAAACGAGCTGTAGCAGATAGTAGCAGATATTCTGAGGGAAGAATGACTGAATGACATTCTAGCACTTTGTGTTTCTTCATCACTGCCTCTTTCGAACAATTTGTAAGCTGAGAAAGATGTCTAAAACTTCGTCATCAACTGCATCAAAGCTGGTAATCCGAAACCTGTACCAGTGCATTTCACCAAAATCCACAGGGCACAGTGTTCATTCAAGTGGCATATCGCATTTCATCACTCGAAATCAGGGATCTACCCAAAGCCCAATTCCATCTCCATGGCTGTTTCAGAGAAACCATTTTTCTTCATCCCCATTTCCCATGTTTCCCCAATCCTCCATCAGGAAACTTGACCTACATGGTAAATTGGCTACTAATTTCATATCCACTAGGAACGCATTAGGATCTAGTAGATTTTTCTCGATGAAGGGTTTTGATTTGGGTTCGAAGGTGAATGATGCACTTGGGAGGAAGTCAGGGAAGAATCCTTTGGGAGCTTTGAAGAATGTGTTTTTGAGGTATAGAGAAGCTGCGGGCTTGCAGATCGAGGCATTCTGGAAGAGGAATTCCTTGGTGTTATTTGGTGCCTTTGGGTTTATGATTTGCATTTTGCTTTGGAGGCTTTTGTTTGGTGTTGCCAACACGTTCATTGGGTTTTCTGAAGGCATGGCTAAGTATGGCTTCCTTGCCCTTTCCACTGCCATTGTCTCATTTGCTGTGAGTGTTTTCTTCATAAGTATCTGTTGTTGCTGCTAGCTACGGAGTATTACTCTTATTATGTTTTTCTTTGTTTATTGCTCATCATTTTATTAATCATGTACTTCCTCCGTTCTTTTTTAGTTGCAACAGTCAACCTTTGCACATTTGCCAACACACACTTGACCGTAAGTATATCTTAATCTCTATTAATAAAAAAAATATTAAAAATCAGATTTTGAAAATTTGTAATGAGATCAATTGAAAAATGTTTTTTTTTTTAAAATTATTTCCGTAAAATAATAGTGTAAAATGTAGTCAAAGTAGATCATGTGAATAGTGCAAAAAGTCAACATGTTGCAACTAAAAAGAGACGGAGGATTATAATTGTATATTGTGGGAATATGATTTAGGTTTTATGGTTGAATTACCCCATAACTTTGCCTTGTGAATCCTCTCTAGCAGTCTGGCATTATTTAGATGTGCCACATAAGAGTATAATTTCACTATGAACTCAAAGAAGCAAGATTTTATACGAATTGGTTGCTGCTTGTGTAAAAATTTAAGGAGATTGGTCCAGCATTAGATATTTCCGCATAAAGCTTAGCCCCCCCACCCCCACCCCCCCGGGAAATTAAATTAATGCTCAGTGTTTAGTGGAAATGAGAATGTGCTAAAATATACTAAAGCAAGATAATTAGCCTTTGACTTGCGTTTTTGGCTGAAATGAATTGAACAAAACGATTCTCTTTAATAAAATTTAACTGAATAACCCTTACGGCCCTACTCATTCTTTATTAGTTTATTATTCATTCTTTGTTAGTTGAGGGTGTATAGATGGCAACTTTTGCTAATTATTGATTCTGGATTCTGTTTTATTCTTCTATCGTAAGGGATTGTATGCACGAACACGATTCACGATCAATCCTGATAAAGTTTATAGAATGGCCATGAGAAGACTGAACACATCTGCTGGAATACTTGAGGTCATGGGTGCTCCTTTGACAGGGACAGACCTTAGAGCATATGTCATGTCAGGGGGTGGTGTTACATTGAAGAACTTCAAGCCACAGTTTAGAAACAAAAGATGTTTTCTGATTTTTCCTATACGAGGCTCTGAGAGAAAAGGCTTAGTGAGTGTTGAAGTCAAGAACAAGAAGGGCCAGGTTTTATTACATCTGTTTCTGTCTTCTTACCTCTGAATCTCATATATTTTGCTCTATACACTTGGTGATAGAAATGTTTTTGTCTGTGTTAGGCCTTGACCTGTTTTTCACATTATTGTTCTTACATACTTGTATGTTTTTCACGGCTGCATATATAACTGCTCAGTCTTTCTCTTAGGCTCCCTTTGGATTGAGTGAACTTAAATATAACTAGGTAAATATATAAATGTTGTTTGGGTAAGTATTCGGTTAACCAAATTGAATCTAGTAAAATGTTATTTGGATGGAGGCTTAACTAGGTGAACATACTAAAATTACTTACAAGGAAAACTGGCCTTCAGAAAACTCTTATTTGGATGTTCACAAAAATTCAGTTATTAGAGGTTCTCCAAAGTGAATCTAGGTTTTCTAAAAACCGAGTTCTAATAAAATAATAAACCAACAAGGTGAACCCCGAATTAGATCTGGAAGTATCTAGGTTCAACCAAGAAACAAACAGTATCTTACAAGGTGTGTTATTTTCCATTCACTGAAATCCCTAAAATGTGTAGTTTTGCTAGAAAAAAGAATCCTCCCATCCCTGTATTTGAAAATGGCATCCCTTGTATTCATGCAATTTGACGACTTTGACAGGTCAAACTGTCAAAGTAATTACCATTTCATTAAGCAGGCCAATTACTTTATTACATTTTAAATATCCATCAACGTTTGAACTTTCCTGTAGGTGATCATCTGGGAAGGAGTCATATGAAATCTGTATTGAACTATACTTGCAAGGCTTTTTCATTTTGTTCTATTATACCGGAATAGGGGAATAGCATCATTCTTTAAAAAAGAAAAATAAAACATATGTTGGCTTCTGCCTTTCTCCTCTCACTATTTCTAGGTCCAAAAGATACCAAGACATGGAGTTTAGAATTTCGGTACTTATTTAAACAGTGTTTACACGTCTGCACAATAAACTGTGATGTCTTGGAGAATTTGTTTATTGTATTAGTGCTACTCACTTATCAACATCACATGCATCTTTTCTTAACACGGTACTTGATGTCAATGTTATGTGCAGTATGATGTAAAGCTATTAGCAGTAGACATACCAATGGTTAGTGGACCAGACCAGCGTCTATTTCTCATTGGGGATGAAGAAGAGTACAAAGTTGGTGGTGGTCTGATCTCTGAACTAAGAGATCCCGTTGTTAAAGCAATGGCTGCAAGCAAGGAGTTTGAAGATCTTGACCAGCAGGAGGAAGAAGAGGATGAGGAAAGGAAACGCCAAGAAGCTGAAGAAAGGCATCGAGAAGAAATACAAAAACTTGAAAAAGGAGAGTCATAATGAAGGATTCATCTAAAAGCTGTTTGTTGTTCATATTGTGTTGCTCTCCACATTTCGGTTTAAAAGAGTTCTTTATTCCTTGAGCTTATGCAATTAAATAAGTACTAACAACTATCGTTGATGGAAGAATTTCCTGGTTCTTCTTTTTCTCTTTTTCGTGGTATAAGTGCTAGATGAATGTACTGTGAGATAGAGAGAAAGAGAGTATGAGAAAGTAAATCTTGAGCCATATTGAAACTTACACTGGAGAGGAATAGTAATTGCTTAAAAGGATCGTATTTGGCTATTTCAGTTTAATGAATATTATTCCCTATTAGAGACTTAAATTTACAGTATTGCCACGGAACACGGGATTCTCTGCTGGATGGCGTTTATTGTCATCCAGAGTCCAGACATCCCCCCATTAACTGTGCTGCAATTGCATACCTACGTTGAGTAACTTCCTTTCCTCGTTGTTTCATTTGCATACCGCAAATGGTCAGTTGGTCATGACTACATGTGGCCATGTAGGTGATATACATTTTTGCTGATATTAAAATAAATAGAATTAAAAAACACATAACCCTAAGTTTAATATTTCAGTCCCCTTCGATATGGAGTTCAATACATATTTATGTTCAGGTTTTCTTCTTTATCTTTTTTGAAAAATAGTCAAAGTTAATAGTGTACAAAGCATTTGAAATACATGACTATTTTTTTTGGTTTACTAAGGATGTCTTTACTTGCAAATTCCATACCAGATCAGACCAAAGTTAAACAAATCAAATCAAATCATTAAACATACCAGACCTCCATAATTATGAAATACACATAAACTAAAGTTAAACAGACCAGACTAGCAAATTTTGATCCAAGTAAAAACATCCTAATAAATATTCAACCCCATTCATTCATTAACAATATTCTCACTAATTGATATGTTAATATGGGAACATTAATGATATAAGGTTGATTAAACCTTTAAACCCAATACAATATTAATATTAGCTTTTGTAATGAAGTAATGAACCAACTAGCTATTTTTTCTTAAAAACCATAGAGTACAATTTGAACAGTGAAGATCTACATTGGAATCCCAACTTCGATCAAACTACTACCTCCGTCCCATTTATATTGGAACGGAAGAGGATGTCACGGTTATTAAGAAAAGTGGATTTGTGTGGTTGATATTAATCGATAAAGTAAGAATAAAGTAAGAATGATTTAGAGCCACACAAACTTTGCCAAATATGGTATGAGACAATTTAAGTGGGACTTCCCGAAAAGGTAAAACGGGACAATATAAATGGGACGGATGGAGTATTATTTAACAATAAGATTACAATATTGAATTATTATATAATACAATCATTGTAATTTGTAAGTGGATATATATATATATATAGGCCGCCTTTCTCTTCGTTTTCTCTCTACATGGTTGTGGGCCGATTTGAACACTGAACCTCTCAACTAGTTGAGTGAGGGTGGGTTCGCGCTGGAAAAAGAATTTCATTTAGAAAGTATGAAGTGAACTATGCGCTTGAAATTGCTTTGTATCCTTCTTTCTCGAGAACTTCAGCTAAAGAAATATCTCCAGTCTTCACAATTCTACCGTCCTCCTGAGGGACAAGAATAACAAGCAAATGGAGTGTTAGATGGTGTTTGGCATTATGCTAAACAAACACATACAAAGAGTGGGTTATAAAGAGTGTTTTGTTTAACTTTTTAATGTAGAGGATAATCTTTTTAAAATAATTCTGCATCGTACTATATGAAAAAAATTACTGTGCACACTGGAAATAAAGAAACACACACTTTGCATGTTTTTTTAAACACGCATTAACCCAAACAATGCATATAAATTTATATGCAGAAGTTTATTTTACATTTACTTGCTTTCTTTAAATTTATGTTAATTACCATGATATGGATGAAGGTTGGCTTAATAAACTCCAACAGTCGCAGATAATGAGTAATCATCACCACTGCATTTGTGGGGGATAATAACCGGTTTACTGCGTCTGCAACATCTCGAAGGGCGTCAACATCTAGGCCTGAATCAATCTCATCCAATATAGCCAATTCTGCTCCAAGGACCTGTAAGCAAACAGAGTTTTTAAATCTTTTTGCACTTACCAATTTGTCAAATGCCACACAAACACTTAGTACACGCACCAAACACTCTTTACTCCCATTTAAAATATTTTTTCCCAAAAAACAATATTGGAACAAAAGAAATTAATTTTCATTATATTTAATGTATTACTTTAGAAAACAGTCCCTAACAAAAGTATGTCCATTTTAGTTAAACCAAATGTGTCATGGTGAAGCATGACACTTTTTTGGGATGGAAATAGTATGATTAAAGCATCAAATGCTGATCTTTATGCAAGAATGAAAAAAAGATGTGTTTATATAGGCAATACCGCTAATTGTAAAATCTCATTTCGCTTCTTTTCTCCACCACTGAATCCTTCATTTACATTCCTGTTCAAGAAGTCTACCTTCATGTTCACAAGTTGAAGTTTTGGGGCGATATATCCATAGAACTGCAAATTGAAGTGAGTGAAATTCCTGAATGGGAAATAAGACCAGACAGATTCATATTGAAACTAAGGGGTCTTAGTGTAAGAATCCGAAGGTGATGGCTTTGGAGGGCTTAGTCTATACCTAGGTAAATAGAACTTTCCAAAAAACGAATAAAGTTTCTGTGAAATGTTAATCTGTAACAACTTTATAAAATCTCAACTATATATTAAGATATAGACTAAGTCCTTTAAAGTATTCCTCGCAAAATCCCCTATCCAAAAAAGACCCCTAGACTACTAGAGGATACAATATATAGTCAAGAAACAGTTTATTCATATGGGATATCTGAAATGTTAATCTGTAACAACTTTATAAAATCTAAACTATATATTGAGACATACACAAGTCCTTTAAAGTACTCCCTACAAAACCCTCCATCCAAAGAGACCAGTAGGGGTAGATATATATTCAAGAAAGAGTTTATTCATAAGGAGAACTATATGATACAGGTAATTATCACTACATACCTCAATTGGTCCAAGTTCTTCCTGTCCAAGTTTCTTTCTCTTGGCATTGTATGCCATGTTCAGAAAATCTATATTACTCACACCTGGAATCTCAACTGGGGTTTGAAAGCTCATGAAAAGACCAGATAGAGACCTTTTCTCTGGTTCCATCTCAATCAAATTATCGCCTTTAAATGTCACACTCCCATTCGTAATTTCGTAATCCGGATGCCCAGCAAGGACCTATACAAACTTGGTAAAGCGCAAGATTTTTGACACAGTAATATCAACAATGAATTTGAAGCTCAACAAGCTATGTTGTTTACTGATTCTAACACTATAAGCACACAAGATAAATCACAAAAAATCACAGGACCACATTGTTAAGTGCATTTAGATATCATCATAGAATTCAGAAGATATTCAATAATTGGCTTGAAGATAAGTCGATAATATGCAGAGAGGATGTTTGTGTTAACTGTTCATACATCTTCACAAAAACAGCTGAAACTCCAAGAAACAAGCACTGACCTTTGCAAATGTGCTCTTTCCCGAACCATTCCTTCCCATTACAGCATGGACCTGAGTAATATCCCATTAACAAAATTAAAATTCATACCTCCATTTTTTAAAATAAATAACACGATGAGAATATTTCCAATTTGTGAACAAATTATGAAGTTTCTATTTCATTTGCTTTTCCAAACAGACTGAGCAGAGGTAATGGTTTTAATTTACAAAGTATTGAAATTTCCGTTTCAACTGAAAAGCATATTAAGCTAATGTTGCAAGCAAATAGACCAGCGAGAGCAGCTCACCTCTCCCTCGCGAACCGTTAGGTTAACTCCTTTTAGAATCTGCTGTTTTGACTTGGAGATGACGGCGGATAGGTCTTTCACTTCGAGCAACAATTTCGATTGCCCACCGTTGCAGTCAGAGGCGGTGGGCGCGGGAGATTCGACGGAGACAGCGGATTTTAATTCCAGGGCGCGCCGGGATGGGGGCAAACGAACCCGTTGAGGATGGATGACCGATGCAGTAGAATTTCGAGAACATGAGTTTGAGAATTTGAAGTAATTAAGCTCGGGAGTAGCTATAGCCATGGCGGACTGGAAAACCGAATTACCTTACAGTACAGAACCTTAAAGCTGAGGTATGGGAAGACGATGAATATGAAAGACAAAATGGATAGACGAGATGTATGTTGGGTATTGAGTCTAAAAGCCCAAATTATATGTTGGCATAGTATATTGGGCTAATCAAGAAGCAGCATAAATTATAAACTAGGCTCAACGCCCAACAGCAATAAACCAAAAATACTCTATTCATTTTTAAGGATGTTTTTACTTGGACCGTAATTTGTCCCAAACCAGATCAGACTTGCGTAGTTATAAAAATACAAAGAAACCAGACCAGACCAAACCAGACCAGACCAGCAAATTACAGTCCAAGTAAAAATTAAGTAGTTGTTCACTCCATTGATATTTGAGGTAAGGATCAATTAAGTACATCAACTAGTATGAGACGGAGTAAAGAGTAGATTATATTCTATCTGAGATTTTTGAGTACATAAACTCGGGTTTTAGTGTTAATTGAGTACACCCTTTTTTTTACTCCGGGGGTCTGGGGGAGAAGGGATGGGGGGGCTGGAGTAACCAGAGCTGAAAATCACTTCATTGAGTTTTGAACCCTTATGTGCCTAGTGGGTTTCGAACTTGAGACCTCTCACTAGACATGGTAACCTCACAACCAGCTGGGCTGGAATGCTTGGTTTGAGTACACCCGTTATATTAACATGTTAATACGGTTGGCTGTGCTAATGGAATGCTAAAGTGTCGACTTCCTGAAGGTCAATGCCAACTTTCAACCCCTTGATCAACGCCATCCGTGCACGTTAACTTCCCCTCGATTGATGCACCCCGTAGATCGGGGCTCGACATGTCGACCTCTAAAGGTTGCGCCAGAACCTTGAATTGATCGACTCCCCTTGGTTGATGGATGCACCCCCACAGGTTGATAACTTGAAATTCGACACCATAACCTTGGTCTGATCAACTTCCCCATTTTGATCAACTTCTTAAAGGTCGACGTTAGAACATTTTTCGACTTCTCCTTCTTAATTAATTAACATTCTGTTAGTCAATTCAGTCATGTTAATGTGTTAATCTAACGGGTGTACTCAATTAATAATAAAAAACCGAATCTATGTACTTAAGAATCTGAGATGCAATATATTGTCCTCCTTACTGCACCTCATATAAATTGATGTACTTAAGTGACACCTTCCTCATTGATGAATCAATATTTTATTTGACAACTTTTACTATAAAAATTGATAAAAATTGATAGTTGCATTTCAAAGAAAGGGAATATTTATTCGTGACTTTTAAATCTCAAAACAACATTTAGTAATTTTAAGAAAATTGTAAGCATAAATAAACATAGGTTTCAATACATACAAGAACACACTTCGTATATTAATACAGTAGTAAAAGGTAGCTCATATGAAGCAGAATCAATAGCTCAAATATATAATACTCAACTCCATCCCATATTATTTTGCAAACTCAAATATTTTGTCAATCAATATTAAAGTTAGCATGGTGATTTAACTAATTCAATTGTAATAATTAAAATTAAAATTAACATATTTAATGAGGTCGCATGATCAAGATAGCAAAGTTGGACCAGTATTGATGATTTAACAACGAGCACGGTTGCCAACCACATGGGGTTTGCTCGGGATTGCCAACTAGTGGGTGATCAAAATTACACATTTTCTCTTTAAAATATTAATAAATAAATTATTACTCTAACTTATATATATATATATATATATATATATATATATATATTTCCATTGTTTTTTTACTTTTGGGTGTTCACATGAACACCCTTGCATATATAGAAGAGATCCGCCCCTGTTGCCAACCCATCAGTTTCCCTTCTATGTTAAATAAACACGGGTCTAGTATAGAATTTAATAAAGTTTTTTTTAAATCCATTTTATGTTTCACCTATTATTGATGTAAACAACAACAACATCCAAGCTTTAATTCCAAAAAATTTTGGGGTCGGCTAACATGAATCGATCCATGATATCGAAGCCAAAAGGAGAAGACAGAAGTTTGAGAACATAACAATTTACTAAAAGATTTATTATCATGTAATATACATCTGCAAAGATATAAATATTACTCCCTCTGTCCCTAATAAATATGTCATTTTCCTTTTCAGGTCGTCCCTAAAAAGATCTCATTTCCTTATTTGATAAACAAAACAGTGCAAAACAGTGTCGAACATCGTCAAAACAATGCCAACGGTGCCATTTTCTTAAATTGTGTGTAATTCAAAGTGAGACTTTTAAACAAGGATGGAGGGAGTACATAATAATAGTTGTGTTTTTAATGGGTAACAATGTTATTGACAAAACTAATAAGGTGTTGACAAAACATTCAGCCTTTTACCAACTCCTTTCTTCCTTCAATTGAAATGCTACTATAAAATAAGTATCTGGGTGGGTTGATTAATAATTATTCATATCTCAAATTATTCTTTTGAACAACTAGTGTCAAAACAGAAAGCATATAAAGATTAAAAAAGCTAAACCATAAGAAAACATATACTTGGTAGTTCATAGCAGCAAGATAGCCTTACCGCATCTGATTCACTTTTGGCTTCTTTTCATGAAGTGTACTTGAACGCTTTCTTTTGGCCATCATTCAATTAGGCAGATACACTTCACTAAAACAATAAAAATAAATACCACTTAGGCTTCCTCAAATCACATTGTATATAGCATAATAACCGTAGTAGTATCGATTTATTGAACTCACTTATATAATAATTACCTAATAATGTCAATTTGTTTAACCCAATTTGAAAACTAACGTCCAAAATACCTATTAAGCTGATATTATCAGTTTGTTAGACTCAATTTAGTCAATTACAAATTATCCGAACCTAATGAGTAATAAATAATAACCTCTGGTTTGATGGTTTCGTTCGTTCTTCGCTGCTTTCCTAAGTTCGCTCGTCGAGAATGGATTTCGAGAAACCGCACTCTTTCCGTCGTAAATCGTAATTAGCGGTTAGCCATTAGTATTAGTAGGGTTTTTTTTTGACGGTTTAGTATTAGTAGGTTAAGTTACAGCATTATGGCCTTATATGGGAGTACATTATGGCAAAAAACATATTTTTGTTAGTGGAGTTTAAACTTTAAACTAGTAATATTTGTGTAATTTTTTATTTCAGAATATATTGTTTGGTAAAACTTGGGAAAAATCAATTAAAAACTAGATGAAAATAATAACAATAATAATAATAGAAAGGATTAAAATAATTTGAGGACTCTACAATATTTTGTTTTAGTTCCATAAATTATACAGTGATTATTATTTAAATAGCAATTTCACTCTTTTAAGTTGTCGTAAGCTTTTTAATTAACCGTCTTTGATTGAAGATAATTTAAGAGAAAAGTGTTAATTTGGTTACGTTCTAATACTATCACGTAAGTTCTCGTACTTCAAGAAAAATCAATCAAATCCCTGAACTTTTAAAAAACGTTCAATTGAGTCTGTTAACAGGTTACTCGACACGTCAGCAAGTTACCTGGTGATGTGTATCATGTGCACGCATGTGACAGTCCTGTCAGCAATGAATTTGCTGATTGGCGCACAAAGCAAGCAGAATCATCCATTTCCTGATGATGTGACACACACATGGACCGCCACATGTACGTCATATTAGTAGGTGACCTGCTAATTATATTGACTCTGTTAAACATTTTTTAAAAGTTCGGCAATTTGATTGATTTTTTAAAGTATGATGAACCAACTGACGTTTTCGTTCCCCTTTCGCGCCTACCCCAACTTTACTACCACCGCCGGCGCCTGCTACCTACCCCTACCACCGCCGGTCAATGACTTTTGTTTCCGGTGACCCATCAGATCGACCCATTTGCCTAGTGACTATCGTCCCCTACAGATATCGCCGCCGCGTGAGCGTTGATCCCGCTGTCAGTGATGGACGCCACAACCCCACCACCTCCACCAACCCTTTCCCTATCCAACTCCCAAGTCCCAACCCTAGCCTTCATTCAATTCTTCGCACGTTAACCTAGCTAGTAGCTACCACTATCACTGAACCCTAGCTGCGGCCATATAAAAGGCTTGACATTTCATACACTTTTTGTTATGTGTCAAGTATTTGTGAGTTTCAAAAGCTTACTAAGTTATTAATGTTTGATTGCAGGTGTTGTTAATGTTTGATTTTGCCATTTGAAAACATTAAAGGCAACTACCCAAATGATGATACTGCCAATAGAAGTCTTAATAAGTGCACACATTGATTACATTTACATTAGATGTATTTTTTTTTTGAGGAAAACATTAGATTTATTTTAATTTGATTGAGTTAAATTCAATTAATTCCAAGTAAAATCCGATTCTATGAACTCGAGTTTAATTTTATAATGATTTTGTATTGCATATTAATCGAACTCTATAAAAAAGAAAAACTATTGAATCAAGACACTGAAGACACTCCAGTACGTCTTGATATATTGACATAAACAAACATTCTATTCGATTGCTCAAAGCTCATCATATGATTTGTCATTTAGTATCCAACAAAGATCAATGAATGAAAAGAATATCAGCATCCGTTTAGATAGCATCACTTTAGAATGAAACTTGTCATTGACAGATTGTCATGATTGACCAAGCTTTAATGGATTTATAAAATTTTAAAACATAAACAACTATTTCTATCATTACTAGATTAATTCAAATTGATGATGAGATCGTCTACATGTTTGTTAACCCCAATTTTATACAATTCTTATGGATTGAATTAGACCCAATTTTCATATAGTATCAATAACGGTCGGGTCCTATCGAGTTTGTTTATTCATCTGTTTCGA